CTAGACTCTCCACCACACATGGAGTGAGGAGCAGTTAGTGTACTTGACCCGACACTCTACACCCTAGACTCTCCACCACACATGGAGTGAGGAGCAGTTAGTGTACTTGACCCGACACTCTACACCCTAGACTCCACCACACATGGAGTGAGGAGCAGAGTTAGTGTACTTGACCCGACACTCTACACCCTAGACTCTCCACCACACGTGTACTGAGGAGCAGAGTTAGTGTACTTGACCCCACACTCTACACCCTAGACTCTCCACCACACATGCAGTGAGGAGCAGAGTTAGTGTACTTGACCCGACACTCTACACCCTAGACTCTCCACCACACGTGTACTGAGGAGCAGAGTTAGTGTACTTGACCCCACACTCTACACCCTAGACTCTCCACCACACATGCAGTGAGGAGCAGAGTTAGTGTACTTGACCCGACACTCTACACCCTAGACTCTCCACCACACGTGTACTGAGGAGCAGAGTTAGTGTACTTGACCCCACACTCTACACCCTAGACTCTCCACCACACATGCAGTGAGGAGCAGAGTTAGTGTACTTGACCCGACACTCTACACCCTAGACTCTCCACCACACGTGTACTGAGGAGCAGAGTTAGTGTACTTGACCCCACACTCTACACCCTAGACTCTCCACCACACATGGAGTGAGGAGCAGTTAGTGTACTTGACCCGACACTCTACACCCTAGACTCTCCACCACACATGGAGTGAGGTGCAGAGTTAGTGTACTTGACCCCACACTCTACACCCTAGACTCTCCACCACACATGGAGTGAGGAGCAGTTAGTGTACTTGACCCGACACTCTACACCCTAGACTCTCCACCACACATGCAGTGAGGAGCAGAGTTAGTGTACTTGACCCGACACTCTACACCCTAGACTCTCCACCACACGTGTACTGAGGAGCAGAGTTAGTGTACTTGACCCGACACTCTACACCCTAGACTCTCCACCACACGTGTACTGAGGAACAGAGTTAGTGTACTTGACCCCACACTCTACACCCTAGACTCTCCACCACACATGGAGTGAGGTGCAGAGTTAGTGTACTTGACCCCACACTCTACACCCTAGACTCTCCACCACACATGGAGTGAGGAGCAGTTAGTGTACTTGACCCGACACTCTACACCCTAGACTCTCCACCACACATGGAGTGAGGTGCAGAGTTAGTGTACTTGACCCCACACTCTACACCCTAGACTCTCCACCACACATGGAGTGAGGAGCAGTTAGTGTACTTGACCCGACACTCTACACCCTAGACTCTCCACCACACATGCAGTGAGGAGCAGAGTTAGTGTACTTGACCCGACACTCTACACCCTAGACTCTCCACCACACGTGTACTGAGGAGCAGAGTTAGTGTACTTGACCCCACACTCTACACCCTAGACTCTCCACCACACATGGAGTGAGGAGCAGAGTTAGTGTACTTGACCCCACACTCTACACCCTAGACTCTCCACCACACATGGAGTGAGGAGCAGAGTTAGTGTACTTGACCCCACACTCTACACCCTAGACTCTCCACCACACAAGAGGTGTAGCGGGTCTGTGTGTATTCTCCCAAAGCCCACAAAGTGTCCAATCACCATTTAGCTTCTCTACAAGTCCCTCCCTCAAGAACAAACTACCAAACAACAGGTGAGATACGTAACTACCAGACAAATGTTCCCCTTTGCACCAACACTATTCATTTCAACACTCTATAACCACCCAAAATAAGACAAATTATGGAAAGCATTTAAGCTGGCGACGAAACCATTAACACCAACAATTCAAAAACTGTGTAAATATGTGGTTAAGAACTCAATATTACTCAGTGAAGATTCAACATACGTTGCAAGCAACATATCAGGAAAAATAAGTACATTAAAAGTACATAAATACAAGCAACATAGGTACAGAATAGTGCAATTCCAGCTTGTAAACCTATAAACTCTTAGTCACGTCTCCCCTATCGTGACAGAATCAATCACCTAACCTTCCCCTCAATTCACATAACGTCATTCCCCCCAATCCACCTCTCCCCTCCTCCCCCTTAACCCCCCAACCCTCCCCACCAAGCAAGGACGCTCAAAGGACCTGATCACAAGCGGGAAATCTAACGACAGTTCCTCAATGAACGGTGGGATTAAAGCCTGTAATGACTCGGGTGTATATATATGAAGCAACTCCAATGATTACGTAGGGTTACATTGGTTTACAACATGGGTAATACTGGTTTATGGAGGGTTGAACAATGAGTGCGAGGATTGGACACCCAAGACACTTCCAGAACATGTCCTCCAGCCACAATTAAACTTACCAAGGTCATCGTTTTATAGGTCCCGTAGTGGACCTCCATACAAACTGAGTCATTGTAATTACGCGCCAAGCCAATTGACTGCCTCGACTATCGCGTGAACGACCCTCTCAACAACTGTACAGCTCCTCAAACTATGCCCCAGTTCATTTAAAATACACCTGAAACGCCTCTAAACAGACCACCACAGCCTACAATTATGAAGAGAAGTTTAATCAGATACGTCTATTGATCAAGTGGAAAAACAAACAAACACACACACACACACACACACACACACACACACACACACACACACACACACACACACACACACACACACACACACACACACAGAAAGTGTGTTAGTGAGAGTGAGTTTGAGAGGGAGAGTTAGTGAGAGTGAATTTGAGCCCGTAACAGCTATCTAACTCCCAGGTACCTATTCACTGCTAGGTAACAGAGGCATCGGCGTGAAAGAAACTCTGCCCATTTAATTTGTCACTGCCGGTGTTGGGAATCGAACCCGGGCCACAGGATTACGAGTTCCATGCGCTGTCCACTCAGCTACCAGACCTCCTGTGTGTGTGTGTATTCACCTAGTTGTGTTTGCGGGGGTTGAGCTTTGCTCTTTCAGCCCGCCTTTCAACTGTCAATCGACTGTTTACTAACTACTATTTTTTTTCTCTCCACACCACACACACACATCCCTCAGGAAGCAGCCTTTGACAGCTAACTAACTCCCAGGTACCTATTTACTGCTAGGTAACAGGGGGCATTCAGGGTGAAAGAAACTTTGCCCATTTGTTTCTGCCTGGTGTGGGAATCGAACCCGCACCACAGAATTACGAGTCCTGCGCGCTATCCACCAGGCTACCAGGCCTGGTGGATAGCGGGCAGGACCAGACAATGACTTTGCTTCTTACAGAATCGCTTCTCAATTCCCGATGGTCCAAGCAATTGGGTACACCGTTCCTTCACTCAGTCCTCATATCCCTTCCATGTGCCATATGGCCATATTGACTTAGCACTTTATCCTGATGCCTAGCTTGTCTGTCTCCTTCACCCTTCCTCTCTCCTTTCTACCATTCTCCATACTCATGTCTTCCTGTTCCTGCCCTCAGGTGCCCCTCCCTTTTCTGTCTTTCCGTTATGCCACACCTTCATCTGGTCTTGACCCTGTGCCCCTCTGAACTGACCTCCCGACCCATTGCATGTCACGGGGGAGTCACTGTCAGAGCGCATGCGTAGCAAGGTTTGCTCGATGAGGATGTTGCACAATATGGGCGTGTCTTGCGTATGCTCAGTTTCCCGTACCTTGCCCTTGGTCTTACCCCTATATTTACTTGTGATCACTATGCTTGTGTAGACCCTCAAGTCGCTCTTGCGTCATGCACGTTCCACCTATCAATGCGATAACCCATTGTCTGTGGCTGGAAGCCCGTTCTTAAGTTCATCGAGGTACTCCTATGCCAGTTTACTGACCTTCCCCAAGGATGCAACCCACAACCCACATAGGATTAGGTGAAAGGTAACACGCCCAAGCATTTCTGCCCTGTCCAGGATTCAAACCCTGGATTTCCGATTGAGTCGACAACAAACCCCCCAACTGTGCTACCTTCCCCGAGACTAATTAGCACCGAGTCACAATATTTGTCAGTGGGTCTCGTTTGCTCCTTATGCAAGTTACACTGAACCTTTCAAAATTACTGGGTCAGATTAATATCTTCCAATTTCTTCAGTATTTTAAAGGTCTGGGTGAGCTCAGCTCGGGCACGACGGGTTAGTAACGATGTTAATCCAGAGTCCTTCCAGCAATCCTAATATTAGAGATGACAGTTTTGGGATGATTTTTGTCACTTTGCATAGAACTTTTTCCAAAACAAATTCAGACATATAAATAATATATTGATAATACAGAATTTAGTTTGGATATAAATATCATATGTAATAATTATGCAAGTAAAAATAGGAAGCATTAATTTGTTCACATAACTTTTGTGTAGCACAGGATGGTCGTGATAATCCAGTGGCAGCAAAATGCAGTTATAGTACTATGCCTGGCCATCAGGTAAATTTCTGCAGTCACCCTGAACTGGACTTGAAGTCGTCAATGCCCACAGTGATGACCTTTCATCTACAGACTGTGACTCTGCATCTACATCTACTGATGACCTTTTCATCTACAGACTACTGACTGTGCACCATCAGCAGCCAGCCCCAAGCTACAATGTTGTGCATAAAGCATTGGTAAATAGCATCCAGATTATCACACTTACAAGGTTTCAGTGTTTTATGTCACTTCTCTTTCCACCACTGATCTACATTTTATTTACAAACTATATGATCGGCAGATGAAAAGTCATAATAATGTGGCTGAAAAATGTTGACCAAACCACACACTACAAATGTCGTCGTCTCTTCAATTTCTAGTGTGTGGCTTGGTCAATATATGATCTGCTACCTTAGCTGATATTTTTTGTTTGGTCATAAACGGTACTAGTACTAATGCCATACTCCTCTGCCACATGCTTGCCTCCCCAGCCACGATCACATTTTTCTAATAACTTGATATTATTATTCATAGTAAGGAAGATGAGATTACCCGTCTGATATACCCAAACTACTCTTGCTGGACGACATGCCTTCTACTCACAAATAATGATATATCAGAAGAAAAGTCACAAATGTGTTTGTACAATTTATAGTATACTACAAATTTAGTCAAACATTTTTAATACATACTAGTAATTTCCTTACTTTAAATAATACTTGCAAATAAGCATTATTATTATTATACTGTACTTATAAATACTGTACTTACAAATCTAGATTGGCAAAAATAAAAAAGAAAGAAGTATTATTTAATGGCAATTTGTTTACACATCATGAACTGATGATCCTGAATTTTACAGCAACCCTCTCCAGGTTCCAATTTTTTCAAAGAATCTAAATTCCTAAGATGAAAATCTGTTGGGAAGATTCAATCCTTTATTTGGAGGACTTAGTATTGTGGAGGTCCAGATTTTCAAGGATGCATCCATCAAAGAATGGCAGCCTTATAAAAAGAAATCCTTTCTAATGAAAAAAAAAAAATAAGCAAAAATTGACGTAAAAAATGCATTCTTCAACAAGTGCATTATTCACCAATTACAGCTAACCAGAGGATGAAACACTGCCCCAGGTGTTAATATTCTAATCTATCTCTTTAATTCACTTTAAACTTTTGTTCAGCTTATTTTCTGTATGTGTCATGCTATAACAAAAGCATAACATGTTTGATTTTATTGAATGTATTCAGAAGCACTATCAAACCACACAAACTGCACTTTTATCCATAAATTCTTCTTACTCTACTGTATTAAATATAAAAATAAAATACTGGCCAAGTTTCAGCTACAGTTCAATACAGACTGAGCAGCAGCCTCTCTTATATTGTTTTAATATTAAGTCATACAAATAGAAAGATTCATTTATACCCCTCATAAATATGTCAACAAGAATTCAGTTTATTTAAAGTTGTCTTACTCATTCCACATTGCTAAATTATAATTTTTGGAGCTTGTAAAAAGCTCCATTATCAGAAAATGTGTAAATTAACTCTCAAAGGTATAATAATCCTCCGAGGGATTTCTTCAGAACAGGAATTCCTATGGCATTGGCACTACAGCAGTACATGTTTGTAAATCAGATCATTGAAAATCTTTGCCAGACTACAAAGTTCCTGAGAGTCATTGTGAAATAAACATTCCAGTAAGAATAACAGATCTTCATGAGGGTCTGTTCTTAAGCAACCATAATGTTCAGTAATGTGTTGATTGTTTGTGATGTGTGTGTGTGTGTGTGTTAATCATATACTGTATATATATATGAATGTTTTGTACTGAATGGGGTGAGAATAGCTTGAGCTACCTCATCCCTTTGTGTGTATTTATACCTCAATATACATATTTCAATTTCAATTCAATTTCATTGTTCAAGCACAAACAAGCACAAACAAGTTGCAGTGACAATGTTCCTGACCATCAAAGGAAGCCAAAATCACCCTAATCAGCAAACAAAATATCAGATTTTGAGCTGGGGCCTAGGTGGGACCTAGGCCCGACTTGCAGTTGTGCTGCCACCTGGTGGGGGTTAGAGTACTTAACAGGTGGTTTGCTTGCTAATTAGGGGTACTCTGGGCTGTGCTTGTTGTCATTTTAGATTCAGCTACTCGGAACAAAAGTTCCAAAGTAGCACAAGTCATGGTGTGCCCGTAGTGGACTTACCTGGCACAGGAGCAGGGCTGCTTTTTTTCTTTTGCTTTGCTGGTCATTACTGGTACCTACTTGTACTTAGCATTAGAACAATCCCTAGCAATATCTGTTTTTCTTTCTGGATAGTTTATTCCCAGTGATTACCAGTGTTTTTATTTGGTTCGCCAACAATGCTGCTGCATGATCTAATGCACATACATATGTGCCCTTGTAACAATTTATGCCCCTTGTGTTCCTCTCTACATGCATCATGATCCTGTGAATGCAGAGGATACTATACCTTTGGGAACAACAGGAAAATACATCTCAGATACACATATAAGAAACAAATTGGGCTAAAATTGTCTAAGTTCAAAAGTATGGATGTCATACAGTATATGTGTGCGGGATGGAGGGGAACAAACACAAAATCAAAAAAAAAAAATTTAAGCCTGAATATACAGAACATCACAATAATGAGTAACATTATACAGGATGGACCAAAATATTGACACTGTTTTTGTATGTCTAAACCGGGTATTAGTTTTCAACCACACTATTGTGACTTATTTTCTGCATGTTAAATAGCACATTACTGAAACACTGTGTTTTGCATTTTAATCAAAATTACAGTATAAACAACATATGAATTAGTGATAAATGTTGACACATTGTTCATAAAAAGAGCACAAAATAATTCCTAACTGTATTTTATTTAAACCACACTAAGATTTAGAAAACAATCTTAACCCTTAAAATTATAATATATAATTATTACTAGCATATATAAAATTATATACAGCCTGGCAATTTATTGCAGTCCTGAAATGTCATATACATCCTTCCATACACTACATTAGTAGTTACATTAATAAGGCATACAGTTCAAATGCTCATAAAATATGAGTCACTGGACAGAACACAGAAATGGTACTGTAAACGTTTGATTTTGTCACCTAACGACTAGATATAGTGCCTTTGTACGATCACTTTGGTTATGATAATAAAATAGCAATTCTAAAAATCTATTACAGTATTAGGTTTTGATTAGAATTGCTCTTCAAAATCTAAAGCTATGTTAGGATGTATCTTAACTACCTTTAATGGAGGAAATGGTCCCTTTCCCCATACAGTATAGTATGTGCAAGAATAAATAAAAAAATCAAATCCTTTTTTCATGTTATGAAATCAAAGAGGAACACAAATTATTATTTCAACAGGCAAACACATTTACCTACCTCATTGGCTGGTAGAATGTGTATTTGGAGCCTAGAATGAGGATTTGTCTACTGTTTGGAGCTCAAAGTGATCTGGGTTGCCACCCTAGTGGCAGTCAATCACTTCACAGTTAGGGGTAAGTAAGTAATTATCAAAAGAAGGCACCAAACCGGGAAGGCTATGTAGCACCATCAAATGTGCGGGATAATCAGAGGGCGCTAAATATCACCAAGGATGCCAATACGAGAATAGAAACGCATATGGTGAACGATATCAAAAGTATCCGAGTCACCAAGAATACTATCGAGGAACAAGCGACCGCAGGGAACGGTCGGAAAACAACAGTTAGGGGTATTTACCCCAAGTAACAAGCTCCTCATTACCATGGGATACCTAAAATTCAAGCAGTTGCTTGTTTTGTTGTGCTCATGTTTTCTGGTGTTTTTTCTCTTGGTTTGGATTGATCTCCAGACCCAAAGCTCCCCTCATCTCGCAAAGAGCCAAATTCTGGTCCTGGCTCCCAGTAAGAAAGGGTCTGTCTCTGAGTTCTGGTACATCTTCCTAAGGTTTTAATAGACCAGTGTTTAGCTCTGGTCATGAGAAAGAAATGTAGACAAGCATCTCCTTGTACAGTACTAAACATGCTTCTACTTAGTGATATTCCAGGCATGAAACATTAAGATAATTACACAGTTACATCCTGCATAGTTTACTGCTTGCTCCAGAGAATGAAGTGGGAAAAGTTGTGTAAAATATAGGTATGTGATGTCAAAACATATTCACTTTGTCCTTAACATTTCTATAGTTATCCTGCACCTCCTGGAACTTTGTGATGCTTTGGCAAGTGTTGACGAAGATTGTGGTACTTGGCATCACCATAATCCAATCCCAGAAGTCTGATAAAATAAGAGGAAAATGTTGAATTAAAACCACATGAAGGGTTAAGAACATAATAAAATGGAAACTGCAGGAGGCCTACTGGCGTATACTAGACAACTCCTATTTGTACCAACCCAAATTCATTCATTCATGTGTTTAACTTGTACTTAAAACAGTCTAGCAACCCCATGTTTATTATGTTACACAGTAATTTGTTCCATAAACCAAAAACCCTGTTTCCTAACCAGTATTTTCGTGAATCTAAACTTTACTTTATATCCAGGTTGAATCCAACGAGAATATTTGGATGGGTTCCTTGATCTTTTGGATGCTACATTGTTGACAACTTCATGCAATGTTGAACAAGATAAACCTTATATTGTATAATGTGAAAATTTATTCACAAACATTAATTCAATATACAAATGACATACTGTATATAAATTGATAAGATAAAGATTTGTCTATAGCAATTCTCTTTTCTCCTCCAAATGCACTTACCGTACTGCATGTAAATAAGAGTAAAGTATAGGGTAATGGAAATGGAAAAAAAAGTCTTACTTGTATTCAGCAACGAGGGAAGCAATTGTATCATCTTTGGAAGCAATTAAACTGCGTAAATGTGAGACTTCCCTATTTGAACGCTTCCAAGCTGACTTTGCTGCCTTTAAGGCACCTTCACTCTCAGCAAAACGTCCACTCCAAGTCAATCGTTCCTCCTGTGTTTGAGTGATTAAGGTGTACATGAGATAATATTTTGGCTTATAAGTTCCCATAGTTCCACATTGTTGGGGAGAGATTAATACATAACACTAACACAGGCTTTGAGGCCCTATGGCAACTACTGACTTTTACCAGAATGCAACTCACAACAGTTGCTAACTAGTGGGTGTCTATTTAATGCTAAGTAAACATCGGGTGAAAGGAAACATGCCCAAACATCTCTATCTTGCCACAGAAAACAAACGTGTGACCTTTCGGTTGTCACCTAACTGCCCTGACCACTGCACTAATTATTGTGATAGTATGAAAGTATTAAACTAATACACACCTTGAGTTTCTGTGACAGTACCCCAACAGTTGCACTACGCAAAGTGACTTCTCGTGAAAGCTCCTCTGTCTCTTTTCGTTGAGCTACTAATGCATCCAGGAGCTTTTCTCGATCTTCAAGAAGTTCACTGTTAAACAAATCATGTTTACTACATTATTATACACAGTACAGTATTTATAAATATAAATATACTAAGATTTTTTTTTTAAATAAATTCAAAGATCCATTAATCATAAGTAAGCACTAAGTAGATTGTTGACATATTCACAAAGAGTTTATCACTTTACTGGCCAACACTTAAAAATAAAGTACAGTATTGAAAGAAATTAAATGCTAATTTCTGGGAGGGCCCACAGTAGCTTCCCATTTCTTAAGGCTTTGGTACCACAGAATGTTTCAAACATAAACCCTAGCTCCAACTAACCCAACCGAAACCAGATGGTTGTTCTGGACATCTAGAATCCTGGCTTGCCACTACGCCGCATCCTCATATCCCAGTTATGAGAACAAAACTGATGGATGTAACAAAGGATGCAACAGTTCCAAGAAAATACCAGGAAAATACGAAGAAAAGAAAGGATACACATGAGGGAGGAGTTGCAGCTCTATTGATGCAACAACATTTGAAGAGACAGAGAATCCAGAGGTAACCAACCCACAGGATTTCATACTTGACATAATAACAGTGAGGAACATAATGATAATGGTATATCTTGAGGTTATCTTGAGATGATTTCGGGGCTTTTTTTAGTGTCCCCGCGGCCCGGTCCTCGACCAGGCCTCCCCCCCCAGGAATCAGCCCGACTCATTCCTCACTCATTCCGACTCATTCCGACTTCATTCCGACTCATTCCTCAGCCAGGAATCAGTGGTAGGTGGTAATTACAACCTGCCATTAACTACAGGACGGTCAAGGGAGGAATATGATAAATGCAATGAAACATGCCTGAAGATAATAGAAAAGGTGGCCACAGCAGCAAGAAGAGCAGAAGCAAAGATCATAATACTCGGGGATTTTAACCAGAAGTAAATAGACTGAACCAAGAATCCTCATAGTGGAGATGAAAGATGGAAGGCAAGATCTGTAGACCAACACTTGCTGTGGCAGCACATCAAGGAGCTGACAAGAGAAAGGGACGATGACCTACCAGCTACCCTAGACCTGGTGTTGACCCAAAACAAAGCTGCAGAGAACTTCAAAATATAAGTTGTCATTATGAGTCAGTGACCCCTGAATTATCATGTTCGATTACATTGTAGAATTAAAAGTGTTGAAAACAAGATAAAGAGCATGAGAGGATACAGAAGAGAGGATTACAGGAGGGTTAAGGCTTATCTTCAGGATGTTCAATAAGAGGCTGAAATAGAAGGGAAGTAAGCAAATGAAATGATGACACTCTTAACAGAGAAATGCAAAGAAGCAACAGAACAACAACCCATGTTGTCAACCCATGTATGTTTTTTTTTTTTTTTTTTTTTTTAAATCAACGCTGTTTGAATGTAATTTTCTGTAATAATTTGTAATTGTATTTGTGCTGCTTTTTTAACAATGTTCCCCCCTCTTTTACTTCTATTTTTATTTGTACTCAACACATTTTATTCTTTTTACCCATTAGTTTTAAGCTTTAGTCATTAATGTTTTTTCCTGCCCGAAACGCTTTGCGTAATAGTGGCTTTAGGCATTGTATGTACTAGCTCTATCTATAAAGCCAACAAACATTGTAAAATCTCTTTATGTATGTACCTTTACCTAAATAAAAATTATTATTATTATTATTATAACAGTTCGTACCTCTCATAAAGTGGATGAGAGAACAGCAAACCAATGGTTTCACTGTGTAAGAAGGAAACGGAGTAAAATGAAAAAGTCATAGAGAAATTATAGGGATATAGATATAGAGGCTAATATTGAGGCACTTAACAAGAGCCAAAAATAAGTACATCAGAATCTGGAGGCCTGCAGAGCAACAGCTTGAAAATTACACTGCAGCAAGAGCAAAAAGACAACCCTAAGCTCTATAACCTGACCTGCCATCTAGTGGTGATCAGGTTCATCACAGAGTATTTACCATGCAGCAATGATTGTCTTGTTTACCTCTTAGGATACTACTTTCCTTCAGTTATCTCAAGGATATTAGTTTCCTTCAAGCAGTTGCTTGCCTGTTGTACCTATCCTTTACTGTGAGTATTCCTCTGTTTTTGGTTGATTTCTGATTCCTAAGCTTACCTAACCCCATAGAGAACCAAATTCTGGTTCTGACTCCCAGAGTAAGGGTACACCTGGTATGATACCCCAAAGCTCAGCAGTACCAACACTTAAACTAGGAAGATACAGTGGGGAACCCTCCCACAAAATATTCTTAATTCAAGAAGTAAACGAGTGTGAAGTAACACAAACCTGCAGACTGCTGTGAGGGACTTTAGTCGAGACTGAGCCAAGCGAACTGCTGTGTGCATTGCCTTCAGGGATCGTTCCCGCCGCTGAACCCTGCACTCGGTCTTCCTGAGTGGTACAGAATATATGCTAGTTATGCATGATACAAAACTAACCCACACACATGAAATGAAATGAGTGTCAACATTTTAGTCCATCCTGGACCTTTATCAAATTGTGACAAGAAAGAAGGGAACTATCAGGGAGGAAAAGTGCCAACCCATTAAGACTATATAGCACTTGGAAGGGGTCAGGATAAGGATTTGGGATAGTGGAAGTGAGAATCAACATAAGGCATAAGAGAAGGCAAGGACTAAAACATCATCACCATCATTTCATTTCATATATGTGGGTTGGGTTACTGTATTTATTTCAGCCACATTATTGTGATTTAAACCCTGCAAAATTGTATTACCTATGAAATAAAACTCACATGCCGAGCTTCATCTTGTATTTCAAACCCGTTTCATTAGTTTAAGTAGTTCTTGTAAATAACCATTAAAAACAATCTTGATTGGTGGTATTATGTATACATACAATACACCTCGCTTAATAATACAGTATAAAGTATTATGGTGGAATCTCAATTGGCATGTCATCACACATACTATCTCTGAACTGCAAATGTAATCACCTATCCATAGACACCCAACATTGGGCACTTACATCTAAGGATAAGGGTAATAAACCAATGCATAATGCATAATCTGCACAGCACTGCAGCCATGGGGTCCAAGTCGAGCTGAGGGACCACCATGCTCTCAAACCAAACTCATTCATATATACATATGTCTAACCTACACATGAAACAATCCAGCGATCCCATATCTATTATGATACATGGTAATTTACTCCATAAATTAGCAACCCCTATTTCAAAACCAGTATTTATCCAGGTCATTCCTGAATCTAAACTTTTCAAAATTTATACCCATTGTTTCAAGTTTATAGTTTGTGTTGATATATTTAAAACCTTATTTATATCCCCTTTGTTATACCCTTTTATCCATGATCACTTCACTGATATCCAACACCAATGCACACATAGCCAGTTATCACATAGCCAGCCCTCAAGACTAAATTAAATGCTTCTCTCAAATTTGCCATCCTGTAAAATGGGCCGATATAAATCTGGGTATCATAGTCTTTATTTATTAAATAGCATGCAAGTGCAATAATGAAAATATGGGTTGAGTGTAAGGCTTACCTTAGCATATGGATGCTATAGATACTGGCGTAGAAGACTGGAAGAAGAGTACAGTGTCAGCTATTGAAATGATCTAAAAGAATGGCATGACACTGTTCAAAAAAGTTATTTCGGAAAAAGCTTAGGGAAGTTGAAGGGCTGATAAAGATGAACTGCACAGAATATGGTGTTGATAGTGAAACAATAACTGCATATTCAAATGAAATTTAGAGGCATAGACAAAAATTTAGAATTTTAAATGTAAATGATAATCTCAATTCAGAATGAAGCACTCAAGCTCCCTTAAGCAAAGTCAACACTGCTTCCTGGACACCATTATGCAGTCAAGGCAGGTCAACATTCCATACCTGCGAAGCAGGGACCTCACAAACATCCTTGCCAGGTCATAAAGGTGAAAGGAAGAAACTAGAAATACTCAATCTAACATGGAATGACCTAAAGAAGGCTCAGTCATATAAACTAAGTCCTTCAAAGCACTATGTGGTATCACAGACATGGCAATGTAGGGCTCTCTTACTGTAACCTGACCTGTTGACCAGCCATTACCCCAGGCCACCAGATGGCATTACTGACAACATAAACAGGCTACCCTTCAGTTCAGACCACCTCACCCAGTCTACTTCATATGAACAACCTATAAAGCCAGGGAATAGCAAGGCAAAAGGTAAGAAACAAGAGCAACCATATATACTACTCTGAAAGGAGCTCTTATTATACTGTACAATACAGTGTGACTCCACTTAAATGGATTTTACTTTAATGGACTTTAATCATCCATATTTTAGCATAAGGATGCAGCAAACATGAGCAATTATGGTTGAGAACTATTGTATAGCAACATAAAACTGAGAAACTTCAGCCAAGCAGTGCCAAACAACTCTGAACTAGCTTATTCTAATATATCCCAACTACCCAAATGCCACCAGGGTGTGTTACAGGTTATACACAATGGTTGGGGTGAGCCAACCCTTCTACACTCAAAAGGCAATGAAACCCAACATGGTAAAGCCAGGAATCCAGAGCAGGAACGATAAACTACCAAGGTGACACTCTTTGGTAACTTCCCCAGTTTACTTATTATGGTGCCTGAGGAACTCTATATAAAGCAAGGATGAAAGTGCATGTACTCCTGTGTAATTGGGAGCAGAAGTATGCATCCTGAAGCAATGACTGGAAAACTCAGGTACAGGACAACGTTCCAAGGGTCACACATTTGCACTGAGAATGTGATACAGCAGACCAGATTAGCTGCAAGGACCCTGTTGAAACCCCAGAAGCCCCAGAGGTCAAATAGAAGCCGCAGACATGGAGAAGAAAAATCCAGCATTGAATACAATGAAGTGTTTCTTCTGCTGGACCCATTTCTATCCCAGACGTAACTACCTGAAATCCTTCAAGCCTAGGTGCTACATAAGGCTCTAAAGTAATCACGAACACCTACAGGGAACCACGACCAAAATCTGCCCCTTCAAAGGCATAGGGGGAGTGGAGATATATGCCACATTTGCAAAGAAAACCACCAGAAAGGTAGAGAGCATCAAAACAAGCAGCTGCTTGGACAACATTTGTAACCCTAATTTGAACAATGTACACATTTGTTGTCTAGGACCAACCACTTGCTAGCTCCAATCCCTCTCCCCAGATGGCACTCTCAATGATATGAGGGGTCCCGGGCAGCTACCCATCATTCCGCATCACCCCAAACTATGAGCTTTAATCATGACAGGAAGAAGGGCAAAAACAAGGAGATGCAGAGATACCCCACCAGAAAAAGATGTTTCATTACATTGAATTCTAGATTTTTGGGAGCACCCACTCTGTATCTCCACAAGCTAGCTCACTTAAAAGAAGAAACTAACAAAATTGGTAACCCATGGGGAGAGGAAATATAGCACGCGGGTGGGATATCTCATTTGCATCTCTTTATTCTTCTCTTTGCATTTGGTCTCTTAGTCCTTTTGGGATGATGCCTTCCCTACCTTAAGAAAGTTGGTAATGGAGTGCTGATGATGATTGCTTTCTAAAATTTTATGTGGAATACTATATATATACTGTAATATTTTTATTTCGTCAAAATGTTGGCATGCATGAAGCTTTATTACTACTGATTAAAATGTTACCAAACAAAGCTAATTTTGTTGTGATAAATGATATGGAAATCATTCAAGACACTCCTAGCTCCTAATATCATATACAGTATTTTTTCACTCTTAATTTCCTATAGCAGAAATTTTTTCTAGATTTTTGTCAAAGCCATATTTAATATACATATGTAAGAAATAAGGTGCTGAATACTACAGTCAAGACAAATAAATTGAAAAAAATACAAATAAATTACATGTTATGAGACGCATAGTGCCCTTACCGTAATGAGCCTTTGAGCCCAGACACCTGAACACTCAGACTGTGGACATGAGTGGAAGTATCTGTCAGTTTTTCTGCCAAATGTTTTTTTTCATGCTTTGCAGCTTGCATTTTTCCCTTCAAGTTCACTGATCTTTGATCGTAAGCAGCACGCAGTTCTTCAAATAACCTGAAAGGGGATAAACATAAAATCTTGATAAAGAACTGTCCCTTTCTAATCTCTGCTTCAGTGGCTATCCTAGTTTATGCTCAGCTTATTACTCAGAGACATCAAGTGTCCCGAGTCTCTCTCATTACCTAGGGAACAAACACCCTTGCAATCTTCCTTGGCCTCTTCTACAAAGTAGGGAGTATAGAGTGATCAGTGATCAACCTTCACTGCCCTAAATACAAAGGAGGTAACAAGACGAACTCCCTCCAAGAAATGCTTTCGAAAAGGGACAAACTACCAAAACAAGAACCCTGACAACAATTAAAAAGCAATCCCAATGACTCTTTCCCCATTTACCATCAAGTGAAAGTCGGCCCACTATAAGCTCCGGCACTGATCCCACCTTCACTTTTCAGCCACTACACAACATGCAACCCTGGAGAAGAAGGAAAAGACAGAGCCGAGACAGTAAGCCACTATTGCAGGGTCAGGAAAGGGGAATTTCATTACATACAAACACTGGGACTGACATAGGGGAATTCGTAAAAATCGTGTTGAATATACAGTATTAAAATGGGTTTTTCTAGTGAACTCCGAGTAGCTCCCAACGTTCAAGTATTGGTATTGCCGAGTTTTAGTTACTGCAATGAGCCTGTGAAATCTACATTTGTTTACGTGGGGAGCCAAACCAGAATCTGATTCTCTACGAGGTGAGGGGATCTTGAGTATTATATATCAACCCAAACCTCAAGCAAAGTCATCAAAAAGAATAACAACAAAACAAGGAACAGCTTGAAGGGAACTTAATAATCCTGGTAAACAAGAACAGAGAGCATTGCTACAGTAAATATTCATTGGTAAATATTCTCATTGTGATGCAGACGACTGCCACCAGATGGTTGCCCAGGTTTTACATGCTCCAAAACATTTCTCAGAGTAAGTTTGAGTGTCTCATGGCCTTATTTTATTGCATTCAGTAATGTTTGCCTCAGTGTGGGTTGATCACTGATCCCACATATTCTCCTTGCCTTGTAGAATGGGCAAAGAGATTGCAATATCCCTTGTCCCCAGTAGGCAAAAGAGTCTTTTGGGATGCCTGGTGTTGTCATAGGCAATCCAGTAACGTCCAGAGCATTTGCAGGGAAGCCAATGAAGGAACTGCTTAGAAACTACCTTCCATGACAATCTTATAAGTTTCATAAGTGCATTCACAAGAATACATAACCTCAAGAGCAAGATAAGATATTGCTAATATAGTCTTGAAATTAGTCAAATATTCAAATATATTTAAAAAAAACAAGTGAATGAGCCTACAGTCAAGCCAATAGAAAACAGTTTACATTAGCCTCTAATTCTTCTATATATAAATGTATACTGAACAACTACTTTAATATTATTGAAAACTGATAATGGAGCTTCATTACCTTTGACATTCATCAACAGCGAACTGGTGCTCTTGCTTTGACACAGTGCCACGTAGTTCAGCGCGAAGAGCCCGACATTGCTTCTCCAACTGAGCACTCTCTACCTTCCATGTATCCAGATCAGATGACAAGGTATGGTTCTTAACCTCATATTCCTCTAACTTATCTTGCAGCCTCATTACTGGTTTGCCAGGGAGTAAGGGAATAAATATATATATATACACTGTATATATGTATACGTATATTATATATATGGAGTGTGGAGGAGTTTTCAGTTTTTATATATATATATATATAAAGCCACTAATTAGGTATAGTGTTTTAAGCATATCTAACTGGTTCACTGATTATGCCTTACCATTTATAGTTGTTGGTAATAAATACTGTTGGTTTATATATTTTATATTAACATTTTAAATGCTTTCATAAATCCCAATAAGAAGTATTACCATAAATTATTCTCACAACTATGACTTAAACAAATGAGAAAACAATTTAACCTTCTTGTTTCGAGTCTGCCACTTCCTGCTGCCTCTGCTGACGAAGGACCTGTATTTCTTGAAGCAAAATTTCCCTCTCCTCTAATAAGAGCCTGGCATCAGCAGCAACCATTTCAGCTTCCTCAGATCCAAGTGGTACCTAGATATAGTAATGCCAGTACAGTACAACTCAAGATTGCAATTACTGTATTTTTGACCCGAAGCCATGTTGTGTGGCAAGAGTAATATGGGGAACACCAGACAAGGTTAAGAAGAACTTCTTTACCATGGATTAGAAGTTAAGAGCTATTAATTAAAATTTGTATATTATGCAAATCTGGATTAGGTCTAGAACAATCTGGATGAGGTCTCTGGATGGAGATCTGGATTTTGGTGAACCGCGGGATTCATATTAGTGGTCCACGGGATTTAAAATTATGAATATAGCGATCCGTGAGCTCCGAAATGTTGGCAACCGCTGGTCTAGAATGATATGATCCATACTTTTGAGGGAGCTCTCTTCGTACTCTACTTACCAGATATAAATTTAACAACCAGGCAAATATACTATATTCACAAATGTTGTATCCACATACCCCTTACATCCACAACACCTTAATCACACACTGTATTGTGATTACATCCACACATACACATGTGGATAGGTACTGTTCAGTGTACAAAGTCCAAGCCTCGGGTTCCAGTGATCCGAGCACCTCTGCAGCTCACCAGTATTTCTTCTACCTGCTACTACAACCATGCCCTCTTAAGAACACCAAAAACATAGAGCATAAACAAAAGCATTTATTTATGGAATCATTTTCTTCATGTGACATGCACTTGGCATCTACAAAAATTAAGATATTTATCAGGAGAAAATGATAAGCCAATATGACTGTATAGCACTTGGAAGGGAAATATGAATGAACTGATATTGTAACGAAGTGAAGGAACAGTGCTAAACCCCTTGGACCACTAGGAGATCACACACTGACCTTGCAATAAGTAGGCCGTCACTACCGACTAGCCCAAGTGGCTGGTATATCTACTAAAATGGTTATCGATTTGTTCTTGGGCCCAACCCATGTGGACACTATAAATTCCTGTATGTAGGCTGATATAGGTTAATATGTATAAAAAAAAGCATCTAGATCCATAAATATCTAATAAATATGGTATTAAAATAATAAACATACCTCTGACTGTAGCTTCTCTAAACGATTGTGAAGCTTTTCATTTTCACAGACAACATCATTAACACGCAACATCATTTTCTCGAGTTTCTCAGTGCTGGACCTAAAATTAAAAAATGATTAATACAATACAGAGCTTCTCTCATATCAATAAAATATTGCAGCCAAATCATACATAATTCCTATACATAATTAATGTTGCTACAAGGCTTTGAAATAAACACTCAATATAGAGATATAGACATGCACCAAGATGATTAAATTGTTCTTTTTATAAATCCAAACCTCCATGTAATGGATGTCTCTAAAAATTTACTAAATTCAGCCACCGGATATCCCCCTCCACATTTCGGATTTGTCATAAGCGTGTCATGTAATGACTTTATATTATACAGTATGTATTTACCTATAAATACAAGACTTATCATGGTCATAATGTATGCATGCTATACAAATAGAAATGATTACAGTACAGTATTTTATTATTTGTACTATTATTTAAAGTAAATTCCTGTAGATCAGATTTGTTCACATTTTTGCTATTCTTGTGTTTTGTTATTCTCCAGTTAAGGTTCAAGTTTAGTTTAGTGGACGTCCCAGAAATGTTACTCTGAAAACGGTTGACACCATATTCTCTTAATAATTTATTGAAATGAGTTCACAAAATCTTGAGCCAGAGAAAATTTTATGTGTGGAAATGTCGACAGGTCTGATTCATTTAAGCCATAAGGGGGTTATGGCCCCTACCTTAGTAAAAAAAAATGAACTTTAGGGGCTGGATCATGGAAAATACTGAGGATAAGGATAAAATCTATTTACATTGAGATTCTCTTGGTAGATGTCCATCATATGAACAGGTAAAATTAATATTTTACTCGGTGAAATTCACTTCTAAAGCATTTGGAAAATTTAAAATACGAATGGTAACTCCTTTAATTTTGGATTGATTGCATCTTTAATGATTTTCATATACAAGCACAATATTAAAGATACATTTCATGCTGTTGAAAAACCATTAAGTATAATAAAACAAAATTATGATTCATTTTTATTTTGAATTAACATTAAAAATTTGAAAATTTGCTCAAATAACCAAAAAACTAAAAATTTAGTTGGAAAACCAGATTTTGCACAAGATACAGGCAGGAACATTATGACCAAAATTTTCAAGCGACCATAAAACAACTATAACTAAGCATAAGTCTTACTTAATTGTTGAATCCCGTTCAAAAAGAAGCTCGTCATAAGCTATGAGAAGCGCCTTCAACTTATAGATACTTTGACGACTGATATCTTTTGTGATACGCCTCGTTTCTTCTTCTCCTCGAAGTGGCCCATGTTTTATGTGATATCTGGAAGAAAGGAAAATGACTATATCCAAAACAGTATTCATCTCATAAACCTTAAGCCTCAATATGATAATACATTATTCATCTCATAAACCAATAATACAGTATTCATCTCATAAACCTTAAGCCTCAATATGATAATACATTATTCATCTCATAAACCAATAATACAGTATTCATCTCATAAACCTTAAGCCTCAATATGATAATACATTATTCATCTCATAAACCAATAATACAGTATTCATCTCATAAACCTTAAGCCTCAATATGATAATACATTATTCATCTCATAAACCAATAATACAGTATTCATCTCATAAACCTTAAGCCTCAATATGATAATACATTATTCATCTCATAAACCAATAATACAGTATTCATCTCATAAACCTTAAGCCTCAATATGATAATACATTATTCATCTCATAAACCAATAATACAGTATTCATCTCATAAACCTTAAGCCTCAATATGATAATACATTATTCATCTCATAAACCAATAATACAGTATTCATCTCATAAACCTTAAGCCTCAATATGATAATACATTATTCATCTCATAAACCAATAATACAGTATTCATCTCATAAACCTTAAGCCTCAATATGATAATACATTATCATATTGTATAATAATAATAATGATAATACATTATCATTATCATACTGTACAATATAATGGAATATTCACCCTTTATACATATCATCATGTAGTAACAAAAATAACCTGTGCTTCAAATAAAAAAAATGTTTTTTTTACCGGTTCAGTTGCTCATTGAGCCTCTTCAAAATATCCTTCAGGACATCAGTGTCATCCTTCCAACCTTTAAGCTCTTGATTCATCTTGGCAATGCTCTTAGTACTGTCATTTTTGTGCTCTTCTAAAGTTCTCTCTAACGTAGCTTTCTCTGCTGTCAGTATATGAAGTTGATTGGAAAGATTTTTCACTTCCCTCTTGAGTGCATCCATGGTTGCTTCTTCTGCATCGTTCTGATCTTGACTAGCAACATCTATAATATCAATTACTGTATATGTAAAAGTTAATTATTAACCAATTTATAATATTTGTACAGACAATTATGTAATTTTATGTAATTATCTTCTGTAATTTTAGAGTTAAACATTAAGGATAATTCTAATTTTAAATGATAAAATATATAAAAATTATCCATAAAATAATAGTCATTTTAAAAGCGATAATAATGAAAATAAAACACATCGAGTGTAATGAGAACGTCTCAGGAGCCCAAGCCTTTTGGGGCGACCCTGAGGCATCAGTGCTTAAGATTCTGAGGACCTACTGAAGAGATTAGCACACAAAATATAATAAAGAGTAATAAATGAAAAGCTTTTTATGGTGTAATGAAGTCAATAACGGCTGTAAGATAAAAAATAAATGTGGGGTTACTAACCTAAAGTATTAAATTTGAAAATAATGTAATAAATCTTTAGATAAAAAGTCATCAAGCAAATTATGATATAGTAAGTTGAAAGACAATGAGTTTAATGCCATGGCTGGAGAGGATCAGGATAGCATATATTTTAAATTAATACATACCCTAGACCAGCATTTATCAACCTGTTGAGAAATGGAACCTCACAGAACCCAGGTTGAGAAACACTACACTAGACACTTGCCATTCCACATAAAAACTCCTAGGAACACACAAAATTGAAATAAGTAAATTGATACTTAACAGATTAAATCTTTATCATCACATGAATCTTCCTTAGACCTTCATGCAAGAATAAAAATTATTAAATGCTAAGTAGATAAATTAATAGCCACCACACAGTATAGTGAAGAACAAACCTTGTATGTGATGTGTTTGTTGAGACTGTGCTGCCAGATACTGTGCAAGTTGATTGTACTGCTGGCGAATCTCTTCCATTCGAGCAATCACCGCTGCTCTGCTCTTTGCCATTGCTGGATCTGAAGCATCTGGCTGGAGATTCTGGTTCATTGGAAGAGAATCGATATTTCATCTCGTATCGCACAAATAAACAAGAAATGGATTATCTTTTCAGAAAAGAGAAATAACACTAAAACCTCTACTATTGATTACTTAACTGAAGGACTCATTCACACAGTTTTGCATTGGTGGAATAGTATCACGAACAAGGCCGTTTGCAACTGCAACAAGAAGATGCATTTACATACCATGTGGGCTTTTTTCACCTGACCATGGAACTCGCATCACTTATGCACCCAATCTAAATCTTTTGCATCACAATTGCCTGTATCTTGACTTTTGTTATCATAAATTCAGTTTGTTGTGATCATGTGTCCTAAGCATGTTATATCATTTTGGCAAAAGTCCTCAATCATTAAATAAATGTATTATATCTTGTTAATGCTGGAAATTATAAACTTGATTTTTTCATACATTTAACTTAGGATGAGAGTGAGGTGTCATTAATAGTGCTACTATCTAGTTTTGAATGAATATTGTGTTTAACTTCGAGAAAATTTTGAAATTATGAAAACAAATTGATATATGGGTATCGAGTGTGGAACCTTAGCTATCTGAATGTGTGGCTACGCAGATAGCAGACATTCCACTAAAACTTTAAAACTTTTACAACAATTGTACTGAATTCAAAATTACCACCTTAATTAAAAAAAAATTCCTATAACTATCCTACTCAAGGAACTTTAAAGAATACAGTACTTAATCATTATTATAGATACAAAAAGGTCCCAACCCTACATGTATGAAATTAAATTAAACGAGTGACATTTCAGTCTCATTTGATAGCATTACCGTTTTAAAAATTTGGTATACATCCAAGGTGTTTAACTTATATTCAGCCAAAAATGTACTTAATGTACCAAACATCTTCCAACTGTACACACACATTTTAGACAAATTTTGGTAAACATATTTTAGCTAAAAACATAATCACAGCACTGTGCTTGATTCGCCACTTGTGTAAGAACTCGCACTGCTTTTTTGAAAACTTACAGAAAATGTGACTTTCTCCTCCATTATCTTGGTGACGTGCTATCTGGAGTTTGGAACTAAATCTCCACACACCATGATTTAGTGGAAGAAAAACTCAGAACTCCAATAACATCTGCTACTCTGTCAAAAGGCCAGATTACTTGCTATTAACCACAGTAGAATTGAAACACATTTTTTTTTTTCGAAACCATTGATGTCATTACTTCTAGTTACAGTTTAAAAAAACCTTACTGCATTACTAATTTCACATTTACTACAAAAACTGTTCTAAAAAACAACTGATCCTAATACCTATTAAGACCAATCAGGTAAATATTTTCTTATACTATACTAGCATCCCCTGGAAATGCAAGCGCCAGAACTATATACTACACAATGAGCCAATTATCCAGGAAACTCTTCCTAGACAGATGTAATAGAACCCATAATCACCACACCATAAATAAATATCTTTGACATCTTCAGAATTGAACTTAATCTGTGTAAACACTATGCAAATAAAGGAACCTAGTCTATGGAACTCACTCCCTAATGAATTGAAAGCTGTCCTATTTTTGCCTTATTCAAAAATAAAACCCAAAAGTACCGAATTTCATCTTCATAGTTCCCTACCTAGTGCTTTAATCTAACAGATAATTTTAAGTAGGTAATTTCTAGCAAAACTTAAAAAAAAATTAACAGGTACATTGTAAAAAAAATTGACAAAGATTAATAGGTACATTAAAGTACCTACCTAAAGTGAAATTGAAATTGAAATAAGTTTATTGAGGTAAAATACACACAAAGGGATGAGGTAGCTCAAGCTATTCTCACCCCGTTCAGTACATCGTGTTAATACATACATAGACACACATCACAAACAATAAACATATTACCAAACATTCTGAGAGATAAACATCTACATTTCCTATACCTAAAGTAGTTGCTCCTTACGGCAGATAAACACACTGTACAGTGCTTGGTGATACCCTGGCGCTGCCCCCGCGGAGAGACGAGCAGCAGTACCCACCCAGTAAAGATCTTCTTCTTATTTATAGTAGGTGGAGTTTGCAAGCAATAAAGATCTAATTGGAAGCCCCAGCACAGGAATCCTGACTGCCACCAGGCATCAGCTGGGCTCTCCCTGTGTGTAAACAAACAGACGACGTCGCGCCACGTCGCTTGTGGCTCGGCACCGATGCCAGACCTCAGTTGCTGAAAGTAGCAAGCTGAAGGTCTAAAAGGTGCAAATTTTTAATAAAAGAAGCCCAATATTTTATATATTAATTTATTGTGTCAGAAGACAGGCAGGCAGTTTATACATACAGTGGACGTTAGGCTTAAATCGAGCCCCGTCCCCCCAAGGGTCGAATTATTGATTCTTCCCAGGATGCAACCCAACAAGCTAACAAATTTATGGGTACCTATTTACTTCTAGGTGAACAGTGGCATGAGTTGATAGGAAATGCGCCCACTTATTTCTGTTCCGCCCGGGATTCGAACCCGATGGGCACTTGCCCGGGGCCTCACGAGCATATGACATGTTAAATTAATTACGGAAGCAGAATGTTTAAATACTGTATTTAAATCGTGTTGCAAGCACATTTATATAGCATAACCCTACATCCTGGTGTGCGACTAAATACTAAATATTTAAGATATATATTTTCCCAAGTGAATAACCCTTTCAACAGAAATGGAACTTAATGTTTTGAGTGGAGTAAAAAAAAAAACAAAGAGCTACAGGGGAGAAAATAGGAAACCTTCCAAAATTAACATCGTGGCTCAACAGAGGTACAACGACACCCACTCATACCATCCCTACCGATATAGAATCCGATTACAGGAGTAAATACCCAAGTCTGTAATAGTAAAGGAGTTTGCAATCCAAGAGACAGATTCGGGGCTATGGAACATTATACTAACATAAACAATAGAGTACTAGATTCGCAGTGGGTCCCTCATCATGTCAGAATCATGATAGCACTCTCATGGGGGGGGGTAGAAGTGGCCTAAGCTACTCTATCCCTTTGAGATGTATTTCTTTCTAGTCTCAATAAACATACTTGAACTTGATAGCACTCTTTCAAACTCACGCAGTGTGTAAACCAGCTGGAGTAGAGGATATGAAGGCAAGGTATTTATCAAACAATGTGTTCAAACGGGAACTGTGGAATGGCCAGTGTGTAAAAACGTGAATGGCTGCTCTATTCACCATTCCAAGGTCGTTTGTACTGCTTGGTATGTTGCCTATTGTCCAAGAAAGAATCTCTCTTTGCTACATTAGGGTTCACTGACTGGAAGCAGCAATGTTATTGTAGAACATGAAAATGGAGAACATCGAAAATGCAAGACAGCTTATTTGATAAGCTAAAACATCCACTGTCTAGTGGATGTTTCATGCTGCCCGTACATATAATTCTGGGTTCTAAACTTGTCATAGCTCTTTATACTCGTGCTTTCTGGCCTTTGTGTGTCAGTGACTGCTCCTCTGTTTTCCCTAATTTCCTGAAATGTTGCGGCTTTTACAGCAGCGATTGGAATGCCTTTATCCAACTCAATTTTAGGCTTTCCACATGCAGTTTTAGCTGCCTTGTCTGTGTCGTCATGCTGGACAACACCTATGTGAGATGGTATCCGTACAAATGAGACTGAAACTGTTGTTGTTGTTATAGATTCAGCTACTCGGAACAAGTTCCAAGTAGCACGGGTTATGGTGAGCCCATAGTGGACTTACCTGGCACAGGAGCGGTGCTGCTCTGAAACTCTTGCGCTTTGCATTAATAATGTTGTTTATTATGCATGTTACAACATTCCTAGAGCTTGTTTTGCATGTTGGGGTTTTAAGGGCCAGCTGAAGCGCTGATTTTGAATCACAAAAAATTATTCCTCCACTATTCTTCAGTGCGTTAGTGGCAAGTTGTAGTACAGCTAATTCTGCATGTGTGTGGAACTAAGCCAGTTATTCAGTCTCACACTTGTAATCTGTGTACATATATGTTGTCTTTGTATATTCTACAGGCTGTTGCAGTGCGACCTGTTGACAATTGAACAGACCCATCAGCATAAGCATAGTGCTCGTGAAGCCGTAAGTTATTTATAAAGGAATTTCGTGTTTCAAGTGTTTTTGCTTTTACGAGTGCTGGGTTTTCCTTGTTCTTTTTGCTGATGGGCGTGTAAGACACTTGTATTTCGGGGCACAGATATAATGAAATATCATTGCTAGTACTTTGCATACAATTATTATCTTACTTGCCTTCACAAGAAATGACCGAATATATAATTCTGCAGTTCTAAACTGCTTCAACCTGACTTGAAAAATTGAACTGCAGAATTATATATTCGGTCATTTCTTGTGAAGGCAAGTAAGATAATAATTTGGCGCGCATGTCCCAAATGCAGCTAGGTGGCACACTCCCAATTGATTATTTTCCCGCCATAATACATTTGCATCAGAATTTTCCCGCCAAAACACATTAGCATCATAATTTTCACACCATAATGAATGTTTGCATTTTCACGTACAGCCGCTTGAAAAAGCAAACACAGATAATAAACTCACAAGGGCCAGTTCAAGTTCAAGTTCAAGTATGTTTATTGAGATAAGCAATAAATCCATCTCAAAGGGATAGAGTAGCTTAGGCTATTTCTACCCCCCCTCTACTTCAAGTCCCTCAAGGGGCGCACAAATTCAGTGAGTACAAATAGACATATAACAGTACAAGAATCCCATTTAACATTGCATACAGCAAGTACAGCATATAATTGTTACATTCTTGGGGCAAAATTCTTGTAGCTCCTAAGTATACTGTCTATTATACCATTATCACACATCCAAACAATTTGATGTGGTACACTATTTATTTCCTTATTTCTATATTTTTCAATAAGGTGATACTCTAATACATAATGTTCTAAGGTGTGAGCGTACGGCATACTACATAATTTACACTCCTTGAGTTCTACTTTCCTTATGATACTATATTTCCGATAGGCATCGTATTTGAAAATTGCAGGTGGATTTGTGCAAAATATGACCAATCGCCGTTTTCACTAATTTGCCTATTTTCGGTATAAAAAGTTGTAATTTAAAACTTCAAATATATGCAATAGCCCTGACAATCTTCACCTTCGACAATCCGCCGGCTTCCAGTCCTCGCCGAGGCCACTAGGGTTAGTGGCCGTCAGGTAAAATCTGGTAAATCAATTAAACAAGTTGAAGCATAATGCTTCTTACTTGCAACGATATATATATATATTTAGAAACAATACTTTTATTTTCACACACATTAAAATACAATGCAATATTTTAAGCTTAATATTTGGAAATAAATTAGGCTCTTTGTGCCATACTCGAAGCATTATGGCATTTCTCAATACATTAAAATATATGTATCACAAGGGGCAAAAAAATGGTGCAACTAGCATTTACATAAATACCACATAGGAAGCTATAGATATCTTTTAATCTATAAATTACTAAAATATGCAGAGCACAGCGGGGGCGGGCAATATTGTGGTGGCGTTAGTAATTGTTGAGAAGTGTGGGTGTTGGAGGAGCTCCCGGACCGTTCTCACCAACACAAGTGTTGGAGATGCTGCCTCCCGCCGCCGCCTGATACCTTCCTCTCTCCCAGGTACCGTCAGGGGTCCCCTGCTGCTGGGGGAGGGTTCAGGGCTTGCTGCTGGAGGAGGGCTCAGGGCTTGCTGCTGAGGGAGGGCTCAGGGCTAGCTGCTGGGGGAGGGCTCAGGGCTAGCTGCTGGGGGAGGGCTCAGGGCTAGCTGCTGGGGGAGGGCTCAGGGCTTGCTGCTGGGGGAGGGCTCAGGGCTTGCTGCTGGGGGAGGGCTCAGGGCTTGCTGCTGGGGGAGGGCTCAGGGCCTGCTGCTGGGGGAGGGCTCAGGGCTTGCTGCTGGGGGAGGGCTCAGGGCTTGCTGCTGAGGGAGGGCTCAGGGCTTGCTGCTGAGGGAGGGCTCAGGGCTTGCTGCTGAGGGAGGGCTCAGGGCTTGCTGCTGGGGGAGGGCTCAGGGCTTGCTGCTGGGGGAGGGCTCAGGGCTTGCTGCTGAGGGAGGGCTCAGGGCTCAGGGCTCAGGGCTTGCTGCTAAGGGAGGGCTCAGGGCTTGCTGCTGGAGGAGGGCTCAGGGCTTGCTGCTGGAGGGGGCTCAGGGCCTGCTGCTGGGGGAGGGCTAAGGGCCTGCTGCTGTGGGAAGGCTCAGGGCTTGCTGCTGTGGGAAGGCTCAGGGCTTGCTGCTGGGGGAGGGCTCAGGGCCTGCTGCTGTGGGAAGGCTCAGGGCTTGCTGCTGGGGGAGGGCTCAGGGCTTGCTGCTGGGGGAGGGCTCAGGGCTTGCTGCAGGGGGAGGGTTCAAGGCCTGCTGCCGGGGGAGGCCCCAGGGCCTGCTGCTGGGGGAGGGCTCAGGGCCTGCTGCTGGGGGAGGGCTCAGGGCCTGCTGCTGGGGGAGGGCTCAGGGTTTGCTGCTGGAGGGGAGTGCCTAAGGGCCTGTGGGTGGTGAGGGCCAAGGATCTGCTCATGACGAGGGCTAAGGACCAGCTGGTTGGGTGGACTCACTGATCGGGGAAGATCGAGAGTCCCCTAGTGGGGAGGAAGGAGTGGCCACTGTCTTCAGTCTCGCCAGTAGGTCCAGCACAAAATACTATGCGAGAGATGTGATCAAAACACAATCACTGGAGCAAAAAGCAGGAGTCTGGAATGTGTCGATTAGGTTTACGTAGTTTGGGGGTACATGCCATCACAGGAATAAGCACAACTTGACCCAAAATAGAATACACACTACAGTAGTTGTTTTATGTATCATACCCAGACGATGAGTCACAATAACGCGGCTGAAGAATGTTGACCAAACCACACACTAGAAGATGAAAAGAGGACGACGTTTCGGTCCGTCCTGTATTAGTGAATGGGAGTATCCTTGGTTGGTCTCCTATCCAACATGATGGGTGTGTGAGCTTGGCCCACGCAGGTCCCATGAGTTGTCTCGTGTACATGCAAGCTGAACGGAAGCAATTGTGATGTTTGAGATTGGATTATCAAAACAAGACTTGGTGCCTGCTTTTTAGTAATTATGTACTTGAGATTGGATGATACTGCTCTGGTATCATCAGACTGATTACTGCATTACCACAGTTGACTTAACTTGTGACTATAGTATAGTGTTAAAGTGATTTGTTATAAACTAATTCTCAGTAATGATTTATGTCTTCATCAAAGAAATATTTACATAAAACACCAGCCAATGTCTTGCCTTAAAAAAAGCAGTGGTTCCCACAGGGAGTAGTGAGAGAGGATGACAAGTGTGGTAGAAAGATTCAAGGGCAATCAAATATTTAAACATTCAGATGGTGCTACATAGCCTTCCAGGCTTGGTGCCTTTTTTTTTATAATTACGTAAACATTCAGCAAAACATATTATTGAAATTATCAAAGGCCAGAAAAGAGAGAGACGTCTTTGTATTGATGAGATGAAAGTTTATCTCAAATTAAACCTAATTTTGTATAATTAAGATTACCTGACAAAAACAAGCTCACACTTCTCATGGAGTTTGTATACTTAAAGTTAAATACTGTATGTAAGAGGCTCGTCTATAATATCTTACGACATTTTGCGAAAATTCATTTTATGTAGCTGCATTGTTGTATACTTTTTGGATGTCCCATGATCATTTTATATAATATACTGTAGTAGTGTTATAATTTTTTTATAATGTATATATTTCTTACCCATAACAAAAGTCAGTGTGGCATGAGCAAATTTTTATTCTGAAAGTGCACCGGAGAAAAAATTGTTTGGGAACCACTGCTTTATGATGATAAATGGCATGACTTTTGACCCTTTTTGGATCCTACTCCAAGAAACCATACTTATCTTCCCTCTTATTTTTCAGGTTTTACAAACTTTGTATGTTCAGAGGGCTTGTATATTTCTTTCCACTTCGTGAGGCTACCATTCCCTGGGTAATTTTGTGCCATGATGACCCTGGGGGGGTGGGGGAGGTTGAGTGAAGTCATTCTTGTAGTCTTGAGGTTATCTTGAGATGATTTCGGGGCTTTTTAGTGTCCCTGCGGCCCGGTCCTCGACCAGGCCTCCACCCCCAGGAAGCAGCCCGTGACAGCTGACTAACACCCAGGTACCTATTTTACTGCTAGGTAACAGGGGCATAGGGTGAAAGAAACTCTGCCCAATGTTTCTCGTCGGCACCTGGGATCGAACCCAGGACCACAAGTCCCAGCGTGCTGTCCACTCGGCCGACTGGCTCCCTAGTCTGATTGCGCCACAGTCTCTTCCCTCCTGTTTGATTCCTGAGATTGTAAGATAAACCCAAAGTTTAGACAAGCATTTGTTTATAAAATTCCAGTGGCACTAGGAAAATTAATAATCAATCAATCTTTCATTTCTTAACATTATTATAGTTAATACTGTAATTATTTATTAGTAATGTGTAAAATATTTAATAAAGGAAGTTTATTAAATTGTTGACCCTAATTTATTTTGCAAGTTGTTAGAACCTCATGAGAAGTTTGCTCAGAACAATATGAGAAATTTATAGTGTGTTCATTTTTCAGCTGGCGGTGTCGCTTTGAGTCATCAAGGCAGCCATGACTCCATTTGATGATTTCGTTTATCTTGTAAATTCCATCCTCCTTGGTGAAGAGCCAGTAAGTCCTTTATATTCTTGTATGATTCCTATAAAGTTTGTTGTTGTATTTAGGGTACTTGATGTGACGTGTAGTTATACTGTACACACAAGTGGGTAAGACCTAATTCCTTGAACTCTTACGTATTATGATTACTGTGACAGAGGAAGCCAGTCCTTTTTTTCCAGGCAGGGCTGAAAAAGAGGCCTGACGGTCCATCTTAAAGCATTTCTGGACGGTCCAACATTCCTCAATCTTTTTTTATTCTTTTTTTTTAACTAGAAGATGACTGCATGACCAAATGACTGTGTCATTTACAAATACAGTACAAAATGTCTGTATTTCCAATGTGATAGGAATAAATTATGCACCAAATATTTTAAATCAGTGTCAGTTACATACTTTGCGTCTACCTTCTGTTGGTTCTGGGAATCAATGTCCCCACGATCTGGTCTATAACCAGGCCTCCTGGTTGGTAGTCTAGTCACCAGGCTGTTAGATGCTGCTGCTCACACTCTGATGTATGAATTACAGCCCAGTTGATGAGGTATCTTTTGGAGGTGTATATCTAGTACTCTCTTTGACACCATGGGGGGGGGGTAACTAGTGATACCCATTATGTATAGATGTATGTTCTTTGGGTCCTGGCCCAACATTGAAGGACTTGTTCATCAAGGTTAATACACATTGTATGAGCCTGTAGGCCGAGCGGACAGCATGCTGGACTTGTGATCCTGGGTTCGATCCCAGGCGCCGGCAAGAAACAATGGGCAGAGTTTCTTTCACCCTATGCCCTTGCCCCTATGCAGTAAAATAGGTATCTGGGTGTTAGTCAGCTGTCACGGGCTGCTTCCTGGGGGTGGAGGCCTGGTCGAGGACCGAGCCGCGGGGACACTAAAAAAGCCCTAAAATCATCTCAAGATAACCTCAAGATAACCACCTGTCTCCTCCAGTGCCACCATGTAGAGGCTCTTCTCTATTTGAAAGACCTCCTCAAGATAGATAAAGCAAGCCTCAATTGACAGCCATTTTGAAAAGCTTATGTTCTTGAAGGGAAACTGAGGCATTCAACATATTTTTTGTTTTTTTATATATTAATTTTGCATTGTATTGTATGGTATTTATCTTTAATTTACTCAAATTAAATATCAGTGATTTCTGATGTCTTCAGTTGCATACAGCCGGAGCCTTATCTGCAGTCGTTGACTTCGTACCTCCCGAATATAATTGATTAAGTTACCGACATTTTACCACCTCCAGGTTTAGCAGAGCCCAGGATTTAATAAGTAAGGTATAGCCCCATGTAGGTCCTTAAGTCGCGTGGATACTTATTTCATTTCAATTAAATATTAATGATTTCTGATACTGTACTGTATTTTCATTACATTACCTGAATCAGACACAATTGCTTATTTCATTTCAATTAAATGCAAGGACAGAGGCCAAGGCACTCATGGTTTTTATCTTCTGCAAGGACCATGACTAGGACCATTGGTCCTTCTTGAGGTTATCTTGAGATGATTTTGGGGCTTTTAGTGTCCCCGCGGCCCGGTCCTCGACCAGGCCTCCACCCCCCAGGAAACAGCCCGTGACAGCTGACTAACACCCAGGTACCTATTTTACTGCTAGGTAACAGGGGCATAGGGTGAAAGAAACTCTGCCCATTGTTTCTCATCGGCGCCCGGGATCGAACCCTGGACCACAGGATCACAAGTCCAGCGTGCTGTCCGCTCAGCCGACTGGCTCCGTCCTGGTCATGGTTCTGGTCCATGGTCATATAAGTCACTTAGGGTCCTATATAACTCTGGTTATACAGTAATGTATTTGCGTTGATAACAATACAACTGATTCCCTGGAAACACAAACTGAAACTGTCTCTATTTTCTGCTTGTTACAACTTGTAATAAAGTTGTTACATCTTGGCTTAACGTTTTTATGACGTATTAGAACATTGTTACAACTTGCTATATTGGTTGTTATAAATGGTTAGGAGGTGTTAAAACTTGTTTGAACGTTGTAGCAACGTCTTAGATTCGGTGTGTGTTTGGCGGGTTGTCACCATTCTCTGAATTTTGACATTCACTGTGTCGGCATGTTTACCTTAGAGATGATTTTAATTTAATATTTGGTGATCAATATCAGATATTGGTTGGTAGTCCTTGCCAAGCACCATATTTTCCCAGTGTACAAAGTACATTTCCATTTGAGACATAACCCCTATTTTGCAAGTACAGTATTTTATGTGAATTTAGTTTTTAAATCTTTTTAGGGGCGTTTTACACATTGAAAATAAAAAGCAAGGCATTCTTAAAGATAATATTCATAAAGTAGTAAGACGTGTGCCCTATCTGCCAGAACAATATGGTGACTTTGACGTTTCTGACCACTGTGCATTACATAACACTGCAAGTGCTCAAAGGTGTCAAGACAATTTAAAGCTATACACTGACTATTCTTGTCCCCTAACTCCCCTTGCCGTTTCGGGGGGGTATAGGGTGTTTATGTAGATTCAGGGCACTAATAAGAATTACTGGATTTGTGCTGCTAATATGCTTCCCCCCCCCCCCATTACCTTCTCCAACTAGATGTAATTCTGATTTTTTCTTTTTTTTTCAGACCATTGAGGACTTCATCCTCTTAATTGGAACATTTGTAGCATTTATTGCTTTCATTCTCTGGTGCTGCTTCCCCATTGTACCAAAGGAATCCAATCCTCCTGCTCAGTATGACACACAGTACACCAAATATAAGAAAACAGATTCTCCATATGATGAGAAGATGTGAAATGGAATTGACTGCGTGGAAGCTTTCTGAAAGGTGATAATTAGCAGTGGTCCCAGATTCTCAGGCTTTGGCCATGGTAAGACACAAGGCAGGGTTTCAGTGCAGGGGTGGGAGTTAGTGTCAGCCATTAGAGGACATTTACAAATCTCAACTTTTATGAATGGGGAACCAAGGCACATTGTTCTCAGAAGACTAAAGGTACAGAAGACTATGTTTGATTATGGATAGTAAGTGATGCCTAGATACCATGATTATTATTATTGCATCTGAAGCTTACTTAAATTTGTGATAATTTTAAGCTAAGAATAAAAAGTAGATTTTGGGAGTTATTGGGCAAGCATCATCTGAAGCTTGTGTACGAAATAAATACTAGTATTGATATCATTTGTTGCCGAAGAGACAACATGTTTAAGCATTGTGTCTGTACTAAGGACATATTTTTCCGTTGTACATAGATGTTGTTATACACCCATGAGGTGTTTTCCATACAAGACCTTTAATCTACCTTGATGTTGTCATAAGATTGATTTGGTTAGACGACTATCCATTTGATAAATTGGGAAGCTGTTTTGATTTTTACTGATATTTATTTTCTTAATTATTATTAAAATTCTGTACTTTTACAGATTGAGACTTGAAAATAATATAGTGTAACTACTTTATAAATGCTCCTTAATTTAAATGATTAACTTCTGATCTTGTTGTACAGTTATGTAATTATAAGGTGCATATGATCACACATTGTATGTATGGTTATCATATCCTCTTTAACATTGGTGACTAATTTCTTTAAACCAAAATTTAAGTTTTCCAAATCCATGGACTGGTAGATGAATTACTCTTGAGTACTTTAAACTTAGCTCGATAACTTATGACTATGCTACTCTGCAATATATTTCAAATAGGCATAGATGTCATATACAGTTCTTAACATTGTAGTATGTCTACTATGTCCCCTTGTATATACTGTATTCTGTGGACATATACTCTTTCAAGCCGTGGCTTGAAAGAGTATATTCTGTTCTCGGTGGAACTATTTAGTTAGGGTTAAACGAATGAAAGCCCGGGCTTGGAAGAGTATTACACGACGACCCATGATCTACATTACTTTAATTCTTATACAGTTTAGAATGAGTGGATTACAGCATATTAGTCTCTTGAAATCTGTATTCAATTTTAAAAGAAAAAGAATTTGGCAAAATTTCTAACTCGTTACTTTCTGAGCAGATATGTTTATAATGTTAATATAATACTGGAATAATTATAATGGAAAATAAATACAAATATCATGGGTATTATATGATCACAAATGTGTTGATTCAGAATGGACCTCAGTAGTGAAGTATATATAATTTGGTGTCCTTATTTATCTTATGTGTGACAGTATTTGTGTGTGAGGACTATTTAATAGCTAATAACCAAGTCTATTCGGTATATTTTCCGTAATTTAAAATGTTCCTGAAGATGCTAATCTATTGGTAAGATTTTTTCTTTCTTGTACTTGTGTTTCATAGGTTAATATTGAATTAATTTTGGCATTATTGACCTGTTCCAGAGGTAAGTGAGCACTACTGGTGGTCATTGTTTTATTTTTGACAGTGTGAGAAAATTAGTCATAATTAGGGTTAATACTCACACCCTCAGGAAAATGCCAAGGAAATACAGTATATATAATATAATGGAATTGTGTAAGTTATTTATTAGTAATGGACTCTCATAAAGTCACTGATTTTCACAAATGTTGCTGCCTACAGAACTAATTGTTCCAGAGAAATACCGCAATGAAATTTAACTCTTAAAGCATTACGATGATATTAACAAGTGCTTTCAAGGAGTATATTCACTGGTAAAAAATATCTTTGCATGCTGGTCAACTCTTACCAGTAAATGAAAATTCAGTCTTAAAGTATTGAATCTCAGGCTCATTTCAGTGTGAAAAAACTTATCTCTCAGATTTACAAAAGCCCATGTGAGAGATCATGAAACACAAAGGTTGTGGTGACCTAAATTGAAAGCTGCTGTTGTGTGTTATCACTAAGGTAATCACGGCAGTTTTGGTCCCTGGATGCATTGTTATCTTGTTAGGTCTACCTACCCTGTGTAGCTTCCAGGGATCAATGGCCCCATGGCTCAGTTTCCAACCAGGTCTCCCAATTTGTGGGTGGGTGGAATGAGAATGCTGGATGCAGCTTTTTTTTTCTGGGTAGGATTTCGTTGCAGCAGAATTTTCTTGTTGTGAATTGCACCTCACGTCACTTGAAGACACAAGAGCGTGGGAAAACATGACCACCACATACAAAATTCTCAGGGGAATTGACAGGGTAGATAAGGACACATTATTTAACATGAATGGTACTTTTTCAAGGGGGACACAGGTGAAAGCTGAGTACCCAAATGAACCACAGAGACATTAGAAAGAACTTTTTCAGTGTCAGAGTTGTTAATAAATCTAATGCATTAGGAAGTTATATGGTGGAGGCTGACTTTTGTTGACCAGACCACATACTAGAAGGTGAAGGGATGACGACATTTCGGTCCGTCCTGGACCATTCTCAAGTCGAGTGTGACAATCGACTTGAGAATGGTCCAGGACGGACCGAAACGTCGTTGTCCCTTCACCTTCTAGTGTGTGGTTTCATACTTTATCCACGTTATTGTGACTCATCGCCTGCTGACTCTACACAATTTCAACTGTAGATATGATAAGAACTCCTCAAGACGCTCAGGAACCCGTAGATTAACAGTTGAGAGGTGGGACCAAAGAGCCACAGCTCACCCCTACGAGAACAACTGGCTGAGCAAACACACACAAAAGATTCACGCTAAGGAAACAAAGGTGCCAAAAAAGTACATTAGAAAGTTTTCCTTTGCAAACAGTGTTAAAAGGTTGGAAAAAGTTAACACTGCCTGGTCCAGTGGGCCACCCACACCGCAAGGTAGGCCGGACGTTGCCCATGAGTACAACCCAATATTAAACTCTTTCACTCATAATGTTTATACTTACTAATAAGAATAAGCAAAAATTAATTGATGACAGCATTAACGTCATGTCCTGAACTGGGTGTTTTGTTTTGGTGACTGCACGAACGTCGTCATGACGCCAAAGTGTTAAGTGAGAAAGTAGTGGAGGCCAATACTGTCAGTAGTTTTCAAGTGTTATATGACTGTTATGATGGGTGCTCTGTTGGGTATTAATCCAGTTAAGGGAATTCCACCTAATGGGGTTAGGAAAGGCCCGACCCCTAGGGAAGCAATTCCCAATAAATAAAAGAACAATAATTGACTGTTGTCTAGAACAGATCACCTTACCTAATGCAAGAGGGGTGATGGAAACTCCAGCTGAAATTTATCTTAGTAAAATTTATTATTTATTATTTTATTAGTAAAATTTATTAGATATCAAGACTGAATAACTGACATAAACTGGCCATATGAGCTGGTCAACTGGTGTTATATAACACAATGTCATCCAAGTGTGCCCTACAATTGGGAACAAACAGATAATTCATTAATCTCTGGAACGTTGCGGGGGCATTCTGCAGTCCGAACGGCAATACCTGGTACTCGAAGACACCATCAAGTGTTATGAACTCTGTTAGTTCCTTGGCACGCTCAGTGAGGGGGTATTTAATAATATCCTCTCGAGAGGTTGAACTTAGACACACGTGGCATTTCCGATCTTATCGATACAATCCTCTAGAAGTGGCAACGGGTAAGCATCCACTATGGTCACCTTATTGAGAGGGCGGTAATCAGTGCATAGCCTCCACGAACATGCACTACTGACTGTACATTGAAAAGTTCAAAAGTATCTCGGAGATGCTTTTGAGCTGTCATGGTTCAGTCAAAAGTGTGTGCACCTGCCTAGTCCATGCATGCGTGTTCAGTCCTATCACATTGCCTCAATATCTTCTCAACTGTTATATTGCTCCTTGAAAATCAGCTTGTGAGCACCTCATTGAGCAAATAATATGCATTTTGATTTAGCTGGCATCATCCTATCCACATGCATATTAGGGCAGAGCTGTTTTTATTTTTATTACTAATCTAACAAGTTAATTTTACTCAAAAGTGGCATACTCGTCTGGTGTATTATCTAGCTATTTAGACTGGTCAGTAGACTTTTTCTTCTTCAGTTTCTTAATTGCATGTATTCTCAAGAATGGACACAGAAAGGAAATAATTCTTTGATGATATTTTGATTTAAACATTTTGTATTTGTTTGGTTCTTATAGTTCTCAATATCAGACAAGTTCAGGATGATGGAGTGGTTGTATACTGTAGTGTATAGGGTATAATTGCCATTCTTTATCCACTCCCAGTAAAACAAAACAATTGTCTAAAGCAAGGAATATATAAAATATATATTCCAAGTTTATAAAAATATATATATATATATATATATATATATATATATATATATATATATATATATATATATATATATATATATATATATATATATATATATATATATATATATATATATATATATATTATATTTTCATACCTGAAAGGGGTACCACCTCTGGTGCAAGTGTAGGGACCCATAGCCTCGGAGAAGAAATAATGAGTACTCAGAGAAGACCTTGTGGATCCTCACTGAACATTTTGATATTTTCTTTTCCTACCACCCTTATTGTTTTAGTGTGTGTATATATATCTAACTTTATTTTAAAATTTTGTTACACAAAAAGGGTTACAACATTGGTTACATGCAGGGTACAAGGCTACTTGTCACAAGTTGTACAGCTCCTCCAGCTCCTCAGATGGCGGGCAGGAACCATGGATGCAGTGAGCATTTCCTCTCTGGATCGCCACACTAAGGCGCTGAAAGAGAAAACTGGTGGCTTTAGGGTCTCTAGTTGTTTCAATTAGCTTGGATCCCAGCTCCTTCAAAAAACTTGCAGCACTTTTACCCCAGCATCAAGTGTCTCTGAGGCAATGGGGACAAAATTGTAGTGGTGATCAAGATCTCTGTATTTACATGACTTGGCTGCTTCCCGGTGATTGGCAGCACCTCCTGCCTGTGCAGCACTGAAGTTAACATAGGTGTTGGCTAAGGTTGTCTAGTCTAGTCCCACACCAACTGTCTACCATTCTTCCAGTGGGTTCCCCGTGATCCCATCTGGGCGACCGACCGGCTCATCAGAGTTGCGAGGCATTAGGTAACGGGGCTCTCTGTCTGCTGGACAACCGGCCGTGGTAAGGCTTCTCTTGATAATATCGTTAACCTCGCCGTGTCTTTTGTGCCATCCTCCTGTCCTTTGGCAGAGAAGGCCATGCCGTCCGTACCTGTCAGCCACTGCCTTGCCGCAAATACACCTGTATTCGGTGTGGTATATATATATATATATATATATATATATATATATATATATATATATATATATATATATGTATGTATGTATGTTGTACCTAGTAGCCAGAACGCAGTACTCGGCCTCCTATGCAAGTCTCGTTTAGCCTAATAAACCAAGTTTTCCTGAATTTAGATATTTTTCAATTTTTTTTCTTATGAAATGACAAAGCTATCTATTTCATTGTGTATGAGTTAATTTTTTAAAAATTGAGTTAAAACAAAACTAACGTAGATATATGTCCGAACCTAACCAACCCTACCTAACCTAACCTATCTTAACCTAACCTAAACTAATACAACTAAGTCAATAATTTATGTTCTTAATATAATACAATAATAATATTTAATATAAAACTAATGGAAACAATTTATTGAAAAGAAAGAAAATCACTCTGCCTATTAGGCAAATCGGGTCTTGCATAGTAGGCCGAGAAGTGCGTTCTGGCTACTAGGTACGATATATATATATATATACTGTGTGTGGTGTGTATATATATATATACACATATATATATATATATATATATATATATATATATATATATATATATATATATATATATATATCAGGATAAACTAAAAATAAAGAAAGTTCTAGATGTTTATTCTGCTAATTATAAGTGGGATAAATGCAAGATGATGTGACCTTAACACTTTCGCTCACCCCGCGCGCCACCCCTCGACAGGGCGATATGGGCCCCAGCGTGTCACGGAAGCGCGCGTTAATTCCGAAAAGTGTATACTCTCTTCAACTTTGTCACCTCAATTCTCCTTCTACGAGAATAAATTTGGTATCATTGTGTTCGCAATAAAATTCTCTACAGCACTAAATGCATATAAACTCCAAAAGCCCGGCTAATTACCGCAGCAAACAGAGAAAGTGCGAACGAGTTACCGGGAGCGCGCGCAAACGGGATAAAATGTTTT